CCCAAATACAGCTTAATTACTAAGCTTGATATATTATAGTGGAATTCTGTGGTATTGATATAGTAATTTATGATTTTTTTGTTATTTCAAAACGCATATATAAAACCTAAAAAATTATTTTATTTTACTTCCTCCACATGTAAAATTTAATAAGGCTTAGCAGCTTACGGCAAGCAGTAAACGAATACAGAGTTCATAACTAGAAGAGATAATTGTTTCTATACTTCTATATTTACTGTTCTATGTTGTAAGAAAAATAACTGAAATTTAAGAACTTATTTGTAAATAGTTATAATGTATATAGGTATATAATGTATTATAATCGAAATGTGACTGTATTTTACTGGTACTGGTCCAATAGAATGCACCCAAGACAGGTCACTTTGTAAAGGCCAGTTTTATATTCTTGGATTTGGTAACATGAGTGCACCTTCAGCGCATCATTGCAAGTTCTGTAATGTCAGTAAGGCATAGCTGAAGGGTCAATAAAATAAAAATAATAAATATATAGGTGCATAATGTAATGAAATTTAATCTATTTAAACTAAACATTTGTGTTTTCATGTTATAATTTGTGTTCATTCTAGAATGAAAGAGGCATAATTTATATTTATTTCCTAATTTTTATTTTGTTGTTTCGAGGTCAGTCAAGTCAACCAAACCTGTACAGAGATACAATAGCAAAAATAAAATAAAATATAAAGTTTTTTATACAAAAAACATTTGATAATTATCTGAAGGTTATAAAGATTTTGAATGCAAAATTTGAAAATTTTCTGATGCATTAAAGTATTTTTAATCTTAAAATTAAATGGCTTTGGATGTTGGAAAGTCAACATTTGAAAAAAAAAAATACACGAGAAAAACATTACTTATAAAATCTTACAACTTAATAAAAAAAACTGAAATTTTGTGTACAAAAGCCTTGTAATGTTTATTGATAATCTGCAAAACTTTGTGAAGATACACTTAATGTATTAAAAGTTATAGCATGAAAACTATAACAAGCACAAAATGGTTACAAGCTGACCAAGCCCATTCGTGGGAGTGAAAGGCTTCTGGCATGCAAAAAAATTTTGCAAATAGAGAACAGCACTGAATGAGAACAGCTATGTATGTGAGCAGAAGTAAGGTGTCTTGTTGGAAATGAAACTATACACTACACACTGCTGAATGGTACTTTGTCAGATATTAAAACACTAACATAAAACATACAACTACACAGTACACACTTCTGAACTGCTACATCAGATATTAAAACACTAACATAAAACATACAACTATACAGTACACACTTCTGAACTGCTACATCAGATATTAAAACACTAACATACAACTACACAGTACACACTTCTGAACTGCTACATCAGATATTAAAACACTAACAAAAAAAATACAACTATACAATACACACTTCTGAACTGTTACATCATCAGATATTAAATCACTAACAAAAAACGTACAACTATACAGTACACACTTTGAACTGCTACTTCATCATTAAAACACTAACATATAAAACATACAACTACATAGTACACACTTCTGATAGGCTGCTTCACCTACAGATATTAAAACACTAGCACACAACAAGTACAATTACATGTACGTTATACAATTTATACTTGGTTACGTTATCATAAGATATCAAAATACACAAGTTACACTTATATCTACATATTCTGTTAGGCTACTCATCAATTATCTAAACTGTAACTAGTAATCCTCATTTCTGATTTCACTTCTATGTTGAGTTATCACTAAGAAAAATTTCACACAAGTTCCGAACTTGTAACCTTCATTTATTCACTGCCTTACAGTCAGATCATCAAACATGGCAATATAGTTTGTTGCATAGTTAAAGTGGTAACTTTGTACAATTAAAATTGAAAGATATTTTTTTTACCTTTTGTAAATCCATTGAGTTTATAGCCTTGTCTAGTGCTTTCACTACACTACCCATGTTCTTTGTCACCTAATTAAAAAAAAAGATTTGTATCAATACTTTCATGAAATTGGATTCTTTCCAACAGTTATAGAAATTAAATAAAGAAAAAGATTTGTTTGTTTTACAGCAAAGCCACACTGGACCATCTTCCACTGGGTATAAACTCCAGATTGTAAGTCCATAAACTTGCTACTGTCCCACCAGGGAGGTGTGGCAGAAGTATGAGAAATGATACAAATATTACATGTTACTGTATGTGGCATTCTCTAATGATAAACTCACGGAGTTTATAAAAATATATTCTAGAAAATAATGTCCATCTATTAATGTAAAAAAGTTTACCTCTGAAGATCTGATCGTTGAAATGTACCAAAAAAGATGATCTTTGTTATCGTACATCAAGTTTGACATAGACTATCAAAAAATGTTAGAATGCAGAACTTAATAATCACTGCACAAACAATGAATTTGAAGCATCCTTTAAACCACATTTATAATTTTTCTTGTTCGTTATCCAATAATTATCTTTAGATATTCACTCAGAAGTAATTCAGTACCTTTCATATTTACTTGAAAAAAAGTCTTTTTGGCCTATAATATAATAAACATGTAAACATTTCAGTGGTCATGTGACAAAAACACTATTATTGAAATTACAGCAACAAACTGCTTTAGTTTGCAGAAACTTTCATACCTATGCTGCTAATTTAATCAGTTAAATTAACTGTTTGCTTATACACACTGAATGGATTTACATATTTATGCAGGGCTGATTCAAACCTTGATGTGTCTGACTCGGTGATCCTTTCACTACCAAGATTATAGCTAATGTTGTATTTCACAGAATCTCACTAGCAGCTGCTTAAATCAGAGCAATAGTTTAGACAAACCATGTTCTTTGAAAAAAAATGATTTAGCAATGATTACTTTTTTATATTTTGTGTAATTATCCATGTTCTATACAAGAGAATGAATTCTAAACTTCAGATGTGACTGACCTGACACCTAGTGGGTAATCCTTACACTTTAGTAAAATATGCAAACAAGATTCTGGAGATCCCGTTGATTTTTACATCGTAAGAGGTAATGGTATAGACTTACCTCTGCACTATGTCTGTTCTCGTTTTATAGGTCTTACTGACAAATGTGTAAGCTTTGATCATATAAAATTATTGTGAAAATAATATTTCAAAACAATTAGTTGAAGGTAAACATATATGTACGTATAATGTATTCTTGTAAATATCAGAAGTTTTTATCAACTAAATCTAGTTGTGATTGTTGAAGAATACCATGGAAACAGTTTCAGAAATGTTTGGTATTGTATATAGATAACTATGGAGAGTTGAAAGTACATACATATATAGAAAACAATGTCTGAGCAAAGTTACTTGTATGCCAAACTTAATTTAAGACAATGATAATGTAAAACTTCTGTGAAGTCAACAATTTCCATGAAGAAAAAAAGCATAACATTTGACAGAAATTATCTAAATCAATGAATTAAAAATATGAACATCTTTAGCATTTGAAAATTGACACTTTTTTGTACATTAATCTAGAATATCGTGGTTCTCAAGTAAATACGCTTGAAAGTTACAATAATATTAATACTTTAAATACAAAATATAAAAATCACTCAAGTCAAATTTAAATAAAGTGTAACATAAATATAAATGTTTAATTCAATCACAGTGGTTGATAATTATATTTGTGATACTGATAAAATATTATTCAATGGTAATAGATGTTAAACATCACATAAAATTTAAAATAACTCAATGTGACAATTCTGTTGGTGTAACAACAAAAAAGGTAATGAATATAGATTTAAAATATTACATAAAATAAATTTAAAAAATTTACCATTTAATAATGTTACAAAATGAGCAGACCCAGAGAAGTAAAATACACAGTTAACTTTTAGCTTAAGTTTAATTAACAGTAGATACATAATAATATTTGTGTATAGAATAATAAAACTCTTTGTTTTCTCTAGCAGATACTCTTAGACTTACGTCTTTCATCATGACTGCACTCTGAACTTTGGAGGAGACAGCATCAATCTTGGATGCCATTCGTAAATAGTTCAGACTTTCATGTTTCTTTCGAATAGCATTCTCTGCATAAATCTTAGCACCATCAACATTTCCTTGTTGAAGAGCCTAAAACAATAAGATGAAACGTAACTAAACTATAAGTTCAGACCATGTGCATGCCAGATACCAGAAGCAATATTGAGTTTTACATGTTATGTGGTGTTTCAAAATTAAAAAAAGGCTATTATCTGATTATTACTAGGTGACATACCCCTTAAATGCATGGGGGAAGATATAGAGGGTCAGATCCAAATGCCACTCCATATGTCACTAAGAGTAAATGACAGGTATGGTGACAATCAGTTTAGTACAGCATTTCTCAACCAGTGGTTTGTGAACCCCTAGGGGGTTTGAGAGATAATTCTGAGGGGTTTGTGAGAAAAATTTGGTAATCTATCTTTTTCACTATCTGGTTCTACAGTTCTTTATTCAAATATTTACATAAGGAAATATCTTGATGTAGAACCAAATTTAAGACCAGATTTATCTTCTGTTGAGCCAAACTTTAAAACTCAGAAGACTCATTAGGTTTAGTTAAATGGTTTTGTTTTTGGATTTTTTATTATGTTTCAAGAATTATATTTCAATTTTACTGGGTACTAACTGGTGATACCACCAGATTTTATTGTAAACATGCTACATTTTACTGGGTACTAACTGTGATACTACCAGATTTTATTGTAAACATGCTACATTTTACTGGGTACTAGCTGGTGACAATACCAGATTTTATTGTAAACATGCTACATTTTACTGGGTACTAGCTGGTGACAATACCAGTATTTTATTGTAAACATGCTACATTTTACTGGGTACTAACTGGTGACAATACAGGATTTTATTGTAAACATGCTACATTTTACTGGGTACTAGCTGGTGATACTACCAGATTTTATTGTAAACATGCTACATTTTACTGGGTACTAGCTGGTGACAATACCAGATTTTATTGTAAACATGCTACATTTTACTGGGTAC